AAGAGAAGCCATAGTAGAGGACTCGGGAAATTTCGACCATCCGGGTTTTATAACGTGCACCCAAATCTGAGCACACGGGCCTGCAACCTTTCCACCTCCATCGGAAATGCAGCCCCACAGCTGGGACTCGAAACCGCGCCCTGCGGGTCAGCAGCCAAGTACCTTAGCCACTAGATCACCGCGGCGGGGCTGTCTTCTTGTGTATCGTTCATTTTGCACCCAAATATATTCCGGAATGCTTAGCAAATGGGTGACGCAATCTTTGACAATTTGTCATTTTCTGCTAGTCATTCTATAGAATCGTGGAAATACTTAAAAAGTGCTATCTCCTAATGAATCGATTGTAGAAAAAAAATAAAATTTCCTAGGTGCCAGTGGAGTTACACGGATTGGTTGCACGTTTGCAGCGCTATTTTTCTATTGTTGTAGCTGTGAGCCTGCTGAAAGCTAGATGTACGGCAGCTACAAGGCGGAAAGAAGATGCTTGCCTTCATCAGCGCGTGTCACTGCATGGGGAACATTCTGTCTAAGAACATGGGGCTTACTTTCAGTGTTATTGAGAGCAATTGGACGGCCACGAGGTGGTATTTTGTTGTGATGGCAGTAACTACTTGGTTCACGGTGCATGGTCATTTCGACCTATTGCATCATTTCGCGATAAAATAGGCTAATATTTGTAGCTCACTTTTGTAAATACTTGCAAACTCTGAGCTGCGTGCCACACCTTAATGTTTGGGTCTCGTGTTCTCCAGAGACTCAAGCGCTATCGTGGAGCGTTTTCTCATATTGCTGAAAATTGTTCCAAGGCCCGATTAGGTTAACAGGACTTTGTTTGTAGCTTTGAAAAAAAGTGGCTCTGCTTTGAGACGATTACCGATCAATAAACATCCCACATGTGTGTGTATACAGATGACTTGAACTGAGATCGGCTAAAAGGGTGCAGTTATTTTGCATCCTTGACCTTCAATCTGGATGAGGAAAAAGTCTAATGAATGCGATTGACAAAAATTAAACAGTGTTTTTTATGCCCGCGGAGCTAAGTGTAAATACCTTTTCCTCTGTAATGCTCGAGCCGCATCGCAGCACATGCCTGATAACGTTCTAGACCCCAGAAGCGTAGATAGTGTTATCTGCACCAACGAGATGTCCTTTCTTCTACAGCTTCAGCACATATCTCCAGAGGTTAGATTTTATTCCACAATTTATGCTGCAGCCTGTTAGAACTACAGCCGAAGTGGCCGTACATGTAAATACACGTAATGAAATGAGTGAAGAGAGTTCAGAACACGTACGAAGAGATAACTACGAACACAATAGGAATATGGAAGGCAACTATATTCAAGCAACATTGTTTCAAGGTTTAAATATTGTTGACATACATCGACAAGTAACAAATTCTAATGTTAAATCATTGGGTGGGAAAACTGACTTTGAAAGCACAAGCGCGTGAATGGAGGGGTCTGAATTTTTAGGCTTGATAAGCTCTAGTTATTGTTAGGTAAGCAGGCATCAAAGAAAGTGATTGATGAGGTAATCGAGAAAGCTGTAGGATACGGTAACCAAAAGAAAACTACTGGTATCATTCCGACAAACTAATTTCACTCTGCTGCTGGTTTAATTGAATAAGCTGCAGCCCAAAAACAACAGCAAAAACTTCTCACTGCTCATACGGCTACCTTAACAAAGAACCATATTCAAAAATTTCTTGGGGGCTATATATTTATTTATCTCGCTTTCTGTCTTTCCAAGTCTTTATAATATTTACTTCTCATTTATATCTCTATTTCTGTGCAATTACTACATTCTCTTTATGTGCTGCTATTTCTTCCACGCTTTCTCTTTGCAATACACTCTTTTTCGTTTTTCTTGCTTGTAGCGATGCATTCAAATCCTCTCCCTACGTGCCTCCTCTACAAGTGTGCCTGGGTAGCCCATTGGGTTTGACTCTCACCTTCATGAAATCGGTACCAAGGTTCTAATGTCTTTTCGTGAATTCCTTTATAATTTTTTCATCGTTCTTTTATTGTTTTTTCTCCACTACACTTCTCTTTTCCGCCTCTTTTCCTTCCCTCAACGCTTTGCTAGGCGATGCAATGTGACGTCATCACTCGGCGAGGTCTTTCCGCGCACACTGAACGGCCACAAACTGATTTGCTGCTAGCATATATGCCCATCGTATTTAACTTGCGAGCGCTGCACGAACTGCCAGGTAAATGTCGCAAAGTAGGTTTGCGCTCACTCGATGGAACTTAAACTTCATCTGGAGGTCTCCAACTTTTCAAATTTTAGTGTTCTTGAATTTCGCAGAGCTTTTTTTTTGCGGTTGAGTTTTTTGGAGTAAATTTCCCGTTTATGCAGTTCATTTCTGGTAAATTTCTAATCTTCTAAACTCTGGTGTTTCGAGCAATCTATTCTTGTTAATACGTGGTACAAGCGTACACTATGATCAGGCGTCAGAGAATGTAATTAATATGAATTGATAATTTAACGCGTGCCAGCCACTAAAAACGGCACACTCGTTACTGCGCCTGTTTCCTTATGACGACGTAGTGGGTGGATAGCAAGCTTAAAATCTCACGCGCACCACTGCCCCTTGTTTGAAGCATGCCACATATTACAGAGAATACCGCGGTATGAGAGAGCTACATTGTCACAAGCCATTGAACTCGGTACAAACTAGAGACAGGATGTTGCTGTCGCGTTCAACGCACAATAGAGAAGCATACTGACCCCACACTTTTTCTTCATTTGCTTTTTGATTACCTTGTTCATAAGGTACAACGTGTACCTTTGGAGGGCAGGAGCTTCACAAGCTGCTTCATAACCTTTTCTCCTCGCCACTCTTACCTTCTCAATATCGAAAGGCACATCTTTACAAGATTGTTTTCAGTACTCTGAACCTCAGATAAAATTTCATGCGAACACGCAAACTTGTGAACTTGCTAAGTATAGTACAGATGTCTCAAATAGATGAAAACACGGACACGTATAGAAACGCAAATAATTGCATAAAAAACACATACGTTTCTCGTATTACAATAATACAGTTTCTTATCATAGATGCGATCACAATATACGGCGTTGCTACCACTTATGAATGTCCCCTGCAATTGACTGATAATTTTCATCTTTGAAAATTTCTTTGAACGTTGAAAATGCCCAGTCAAGATCAGAGTGTATTGGAATATTTCAGTTTGCCGAAACATTCGCCAGATGGCACGTACTTTGAGAATCAATGTTACGCGAAGAATGCAATTTGTAACTTTTGTAGGACAAAATGTCATGAAGTGGCGCTAAAGGTACAAGTGCACGAACAGGCATATGTTCAAAATTGCTGAAATTTTACATAACATGTTTAAAGCTGCGGAACGAATCCAACAGCAACATGAATATTAACAACACCAGAAGTGGTAAGCGGGCGTTAAGCGCTGGTGCTCACGAGGAACGTAGCCCTGGACGCTGCTACATAAATAAACTTCTGCGGCGGCACCTAACTTCAATTGATATTAACCCAGAGTGACGGAAATAGTGTAGTAGGAATTCTTATTTTTATGCACATTTGTTTAAGTTCAACTATATTTGATTTGTGGCCAAAAACACTGTCAGCAATGTTCAGCGCGGATCACGCTTCATGAAGTGTTAAAAACAGTTCACGATTGTGGCACGTCTTTTTGCTATGATTACATGCAGGACACACATATTCAAGCTTGTTGCAGAGATTATGCGACCATAATTGATTAGACTGGAAAGTTCAACGCCTTATGTATTACAGAAGGCGCATTCCAATGATGACCAGCAGATCGATGGCCGACGCTCTCTTCACCACTGGCAGTGCCCAGGGTGTATTACTGTATTATGACTTCTCATGTCCCGGCCATAACTCAAGCATCATGAAGTTTCTTCTTGGATATACAGTCTGCTGCCTTCGTCGACGTCACGGCCACATGACAATATGTATTGTATCTAAAATTGAATAGCCAGTACTGTAACCGCAATAGAAGTTTCACGAACGTTGGGGTCCATTTGTTAAGTAGCTTAGAGCCCAGACATGGCTCTCTGATTGAATACTTGATTGACACGCTGAATTATAGGGTTCGATTCATGATGGCACCTTGACATTCATTCTCTACATTCAGGGTTGAACGCTGCCAGTTTGAACTTTTTCTTAACGCCCACGCGTTACACTTACCAATTTGTGTTCTCGTCGATCTTGGGCAGATGTCAAGTTTTGATCACATGTGTCACATACCGACATGCCTGTGGCACATACTTACGGGCAAGTGTGTGGCGACAGACACGGCGTGATTTGGATTTTATTCATACCATACCAGCGAGTGGTCTTCATCAAACCATCTTGCCCTTTCTTACTAATTTCGGTGATCACGAGAGCACCCAGGCGTAGGCGGCTAGATCAATAGATACGTAAATAGATTTTCAAAGTGCCAGCAGTACGCAAAGAAATGCTTTGCATTTAAAATTACAGTGGTTAGCCTTCGTCAAATTTTCAATGTATACAAAACATAGAGCTCTACTACGATATAGCAAACTGGAATTGTCACAATTTTGATAGCGTGATCCTTTGATGAGCAATACTTCGCAAGACAGTGGAAGGACAAAATCTGTTGAGACAAGGGCCATCACCGGGGCTATTAGTTACCCTCTTAAGGTACGTAAAAAAAAACAAATGCCCAGTTTTCTCCGAGCTCGTGATGTGCCCTGCCAACATATTTATTAAACGACACAAAACTTTTCGTCTTGCTCAGGATCCTAATAGGTCCCCTACTTATGAAATATTCTTGCAATCTCACAATCTTTAGTTCCCGTAAAATGCTCTGAAATGAAATCCGTCGTCCATCTCATCAAGAAACCTCATCACTCATTTCTCATAAGTACCTTTAGTGAACCTCAAAGGTATATTAGGTGTAATTAAAATAGCAAAATGCTAACCACGAAAGCAACGATGATAGACGGAATATGCGCAAGAAGCATTCAAAACGCACCTGTACCACAGTAGTTTCTTCACAAGAGCAGGGCCCCGTTAGACTGGGCTAGGCTGCGGTTTTCATGCCACCTAGAAAACCTAAAAAATTATGAGTTATCACCCGCTTCCTGTCACTGTATTCCCTCACAATTACAAGCAAACGTATTTCCTTTGTGTCTATCTTTTGCACAGCTGTTAGGCACTGCCAGGTTTACTGGCGCATTAAGCATCCCTTGCGCAGGATATGACTGCAAGTGAAACTGTATCTGATACCGTCGCTATAAACTTCAAATACCGAGCGCCTGTTTCGCTAACATCAATTACACTTTAGCGTAACGTCGAGTCAAAATGTTATTGTGACGGTGCTACATCCATATCATAAAGAAACTGTCCAATCTAAGATGATAAGAGTTCTTTATTACAGGAGATAAAAAAACATTGTAGTTAATACAGTACATCAAAACCGTTTTTTCACAAATACCGGGACTCTAGGGGAAACCATTGGCTAAAGGGTGTTAGAAAACCGTTAGATTGTGCCCATGGCCAATTACGAGGCATACGTGGTGGTTATATGAGAAAATATAGCAGCATTACTAGAAGCTCAAAACAAATTATCTATCAACACAAATTCAGATAAGATAAAATACACTAAACATCAGGAAAAAGAGTTTGATGGTATACGTCGCCAGCAAGAATGCCTCAGTATTGTTAGAGCACAACTGGTGAAGCACTTTAGAAACGAACAATCGTCCGCGTTTGAGAACTTTAATGATGCAGTATTTTCTTTTGGGTACCAGCTGTAACAAGTATATTACTGCGAAACATACGTCCATCTTACACAAGTTACACTATGAAAGTTGAAGGCTGCAAGTAATGGCATATAACCGGGAAATGGCATATAACCCGCACAAACTTCAGCCGAAAGTTTGTGCGGGTTGACCTAGAAAAAAAGAACCGACTTGGTTCCTTCCTCAGAGGGGACTGAGACTACGTAGCAGCGGTATCTTAAAAGCACTCGAGGGGCGGTTATTGACCCCCCATTTTATTTCGTTTTGGCGTGGAGTGCAGGGTTCCGAAAAAGTGGTTGACTTGGGCCACCGAGCTTGCTGAGACGTTGGAACACTGGATAATTATCGACGCAATGATGAAAGAGAAACTAACTGAACGAGAAGGTTACCTCCCAAGTCACGGCATATACAGCGAACGTCGCAAAACATCAACCGTTCTTTCGGAATCCTTCCGTCAGTTTTACACACGAACTGCGCTCCACGGCAAAACAAGAGGGGGAAAGAAAAAAGGGGTAGGTGGTTGTGCACGTCTGTGACTTTTCGGCACTACTGTAGAATTCCCTTTTTGATTTTTACTTCCTGTTTTCGTGTTTTTTGTTTTCTCTGTGCATATATTTTCACGCACTAAGGGCTGTAGAGACAAAACAGGAGGAGCGAGGCAGAAAGACACGAGCGTGTATCGTGAACGATGAGCTGAAACACACTTCGTCTATGTCCTATTCACCTTTTTTTTGACTGGCCGAGGCTTGCGGCTCAGAAGTACAGGTGGCATTATTTTCCCTCCTATTAGAGCATCGACTGAATGCTCAAATGCAAGAAGACATCAGGGCCCAAAATAAAAAAAAACAACCAAACGAACGATACGTATATTGCACAGGGCATATGCACGTTAAAAAATACGTTCTGTGGCGGGAGATAAGAAAAAAAAAGAATTAACACAGTTCTCAGTTTTTTGAAGACCCAACGAACAACTTCAAGAAATCAAAAACAAAATGTTTGCTGCTCGGGCCCAGCAGGGCGAGTATCAACGCGTAAGATATAACTTTAGGCAGACGACGTGTATACTCTTTGTGTGTGGTTAGTGGCGCTGGGTCGTTACCGAGACTCCATGTAGGATGACTTAATAGCTGATCTCGTTCAACCGCCGTAATACTCTGTAAGGTCCGAAGTACTTGTTCCGGAGTTTTTTGCTGAGACCTCACCGTCTAACAGGAGTCCAAACCCAAACTTGGTCGCCAGTTTGATAAGTGACTTGTCGATGGTTGATATTGTACCTTCGCGCATCTTCACATTGCTGCGATCTTATGTGCACGCAAGCTAGTTGACGTGCTTCCTCCGCACGCTGACTGTAACCCTCGACGTCACGAGCTGACTGATCGTGGTGGTGGATGTCACAAAGAATCATGGCGTCTAGCATGGTTTGCACGTATCGGCCGTAAACGAGGCGGAAAGGTGTTAACCTTGTCGTTTCCTCTGTTGCGATGTTGTACGCAAATGTTGCGTACGACAGGATCTCGTACTACGTTTTCTGCTGCACATCCACGTACATTGAAAGCATGTCCGCCAGCCCTTTGTTTAGCCTTTTTTGTCAGGCCGTTAGTCTGGGGTTGGTATGCGATTGCCTCACAGTGGTTCGTGTAACTGAGCGTTTGACACAAGGTGGGAGTTTAGACCAGAAATATAGCTGTGATACCCTGGTCAAGCGTCCGTCAGTATCCCAGACGGCCGGATGTTGGCTTATCGTGGCAGGCTAATAGGGTTTCATCACCAAGGTATTGAGGAACGAGTAAAAGATAAGATTTGCTGCCGACACCAGTGTTTTCCTTGTGTAATATTCCGTCTCGTAAGCAGAATGACGGCAACGTAGGTGAAGTGGGAGAGGAATAGACGCGGTGCTGCCTTCTAACTGATTAATGATGGGCTTTAAACTCGGGGTTCACTCGTTGCTCACTGAGAAGGTCCGCCCCACTGAGAGTCCTCAGGAAGGCACGTTGGCGTATTTATGCTCTCTACCCGACTTGCATACGCTGGAGACATAGAACTCCTGATGTCGCAGACTCCATTGTGCTAATCACCCAGAGGTGTCTCGGAGGTTAGCCAACCAACATAAAGCGGGATGATCAGTCAAAACTTTAAATGGATACCCGTAGAGCTAGATGAAGCCTGAACTATGTAACTTCCCATATTACTTCTAGGCACCGCTTCTCTGGCTTGAATAGTTGGTCTCGGTGCATGACTGAGTGCGACTCGCGTAGCCAATAAGTCGTTTGGTTCTATCTTGTGTTAGCACCAAGATAGCTCCGACACCAATGTTGCTTGTGTCAGTGCTCACATATGTGTCGGCTTCCTCATAGAAATGATCAACTACAGTTGAGGAAGACAATCGATGTTTTAATTCCACAAAGGCAATCGCTTGTGGCTCCACAATCTCGGAGAACTTTTAAATAAAGCGGCAATAATATGCGCAGAGCTCCAGAAATCGTCAGGTACTTTTCTTGTTTGTCGGAGCTTCAAACGCGGCCACAGTGGCAGTCTTCTCAAAATCGGGCCGAACGCATGCAGCACTCACATGACCAAGAAACTTGAGTTCTCTGTAGCCGAAATGGCACTTTTCAGGCTTGAACGTCTGGTCAGCTCGTATAGCTTCAAGAGCATTTCGAGGGCGATGAAGGTGCTCGTCAAACGTTCCCGAAAAGACAACGACATCATTGAGATAGACGAAGCCACTTTTCAACTTGAGGTCAGCGAGAACGATATTTATATTTCGTTGGAATATTGCTGGCGCTGAACGGAGGCCAAATGGAAGCACTTGGAATTCATGTGGACCATTACGAGTTAACAATGCAGTTTCTAGGTGGTCCCGCTAATCCACTTCCATTTGCCAATAACCACTTTTTAGGAAAATTACTTTGCTCCCCACAGCCTGTATCTTTCACTCGAAGAATCTTCCACTCGAAGCAATGGGTACACGTCTTTCTTTGTGGTGTTCTACAGCTTCCTGTAATCGACACAAAAGCGAAGTGTACAGTCCTTCTTCTTTAGAAGAATGGCTGCTGATGACCATGGACTGCTGGAGGGATGTATCATGCCGTCTTGGGGCATTTCCTTCCCTTGCGTTTGAATTGCAAGTAGTTGGGTTAAAGAAATGCGGTAAGGCTCTCACCGTGTAGGATGCACGTGGTCGTAGGTGATAATACGATGTTTAGTATTCGATGTCTGACGAATATTCAAGGAACGTGCAAAGCAGCCGTGCAACTCCAGCAACAGGTCATGCAGCCTTCGTTTGTTTTCGTCTGAAAATATTGGATATATGTCGACACCACGGAGAGGTGCTTTGGCATTATTGGTTGCCTCGGAAGCAAAACCCTCAGTCACGTTTGTTACAGGGTTGGCGTAGGTGATCCCTGTACGACGAAAAATGCGTCGGTGCTCGTAGCTGAAGTTTGAAACAAGAACCTCGCAAGGGCCATTATGGAGGTCCACTAGGGTTCGTGCTACGCAGACACCTCGAAAAAAGAGTAAAAATCAATTGGTCTCCACGGCCATTTAACCATGTGCTGATTTGTTACACACCACTTGAACAATAACAATTGTGCACGATGTTATCATCGCAGCATCGTCAAATACACGCTGACATACTCGATTGTGACTGGCATTACCCTATGGTGTAACGCTTTATTGCAATATGAATTATGTGGGCACTCTCTGTGGAATTTCGTCGATTGCGTCGTCTTCAACGTCGCCGTCACTCACCGTATATGTAAACGTATTTATATATGTGTAAACGCACGAAAAAAATAGAGAATCCCGCGGCACATGGAATTGCACGTGGGACTTCTGAGTGGTGAATGCAAGGCACTAACCATTGAGCCATCGATGAGCACCTCCTTTATTGTTCAAACAGTTGACTATTTATATCTACCACTTTCCACTGTTGACGCGAATCTTGGAGGAAACTATTGTGTTTGCAGCATTAACAGCAATATGGCGAAATAACCGCGCGTCACCCCATTGTCGTGACTAGCCGCGACGGGTTGGCACGCGCTCTCTTCTCCCACGCACACATGCCCCGCGCAGAAAAGGATAGTGGACGCTCGCTTGTGCACCCTTATCTCGCGGTGGGGAGGATCATACGTCTTGGCTGGCGTTGGTATTTCACTAAAACAAATCTGTTGTAATTACCGGACACACAAAGGTCACTGCGATTGTAGCACAGTGTCTTTTGCGAAAAGAGCGAGCTTTTCAGACACAGCGGAATAACAACTGGGACGCTCATTCGTTTTTATCTGTACCTATGAGTACG